TTTTACAATAGTACTCAAGGGAAACCAGTATTCATAAGACAGTCAAGCATCTTATCATTATTTCCCCTTCTTTTACCCATTCAGACTATGCCTTGATCCCTGTATCACACAGCCCTGTTGTAGAAGAATTGCTACATCATACGGTACTTCTATTTCCAACTTTCTGAGGAAGTGCCATACCATTCTCCAGAATGGTTGGACCATTTTACATTCCCACCAGCAATGTAGGAGTGACCCAGTCTCTCCACATCATTGCCAGTATTTATTGTCCTCTGTTGTTTTGAACTTTTCTGTTATTGCTGGTGTGAGATGATATCTCATTATTGTTTTGATTTGCATTTCTCTAATGGCTAATGATAGTGAATATTTCTTCATATGATTGTTGGCTATCCAAATGTCTTCCTTGGTGAAGTGTCTGTTCATGTCCTGTGCCCATTTTTAAAGTGGGTTATTTGTCTTTTTATTGTAGAGGTGTTGTAGTTTCCTATAGATTTTAGAAATTAGTCCCCTGTCAATATTGAATAGGAGTGGTGATAAAGGGCATCCTTATCTGGTTCTTGTTCACAAAGGGAGGGTTTTCAGATTCTGTCCATTGAGAGCGATGTTGGCTGTTGGTTTTGTAAATATGCTTTTAATTATGTTGAGGAATCTCCCTTCAACTCCTACTTTGTTGAGCATTTTTATCAGGAATGTATGTTGGATTTTGTCAAATGCCTTTTTTGCATCAGTCGATATGATTGTGTAATTCTTTTCTTGTTTCTTATTTATATGGTGGATAACATTGATTGTTTTTCTAATGTTGACCCATCCTTGCATCCCTGATATGAATCCCACTTGGTTGTGATGGTTTTTGTATTTGTTTTTTATGTTTTATTATATTCTATTAGCTAATACTTCGTTGAGAATTTTTGCATTTATGTTCATGAGGGATACTGGTCTATTATTTTCTTTCTTAGTGATGTCCTTCTCTGGTTTTGGTATGAGGGTTATGCTTGCATCATAAAATGTATTAGGGTCAGGACCCCTCAGAGCAAACTCCCTTCCAAGACTGAGACTCAAGGGGGATACATGAGTAGGCATGTGGTCTGGCTGGTGACCACATTGGTCACCGATAAGGGAAG